CCAGCTGATGTAGGACTGGGAAGAAAGGTATTATTCAGTTCACCCGTATGGGTAGTATAGTCATCAACTGGCCCATCAAGTCATTACCTAAGCCAAGTCGCAGTTACGTGACCACCACAGTGAACTGAAGTCAGCTCATGTCAGGCGCTCTGTTCTATTTTATTTTTTGCTCGAATTATTGTATGGCAGAGAAACGAAGAAATAAATAGATGGAGTATAGTAGATTTAGACAATCATGTACCAACCTTTTTGCCAAATTGATAGTACCGACAGCGGAAGACGGTGAAAGTGAGTTGAAGCTAGAAATATCAGCAGTGCGTTGGAACAATGCACTACAGCTGAACTGTATCAGGAGTGCTGCTAACAAGGAAAGGATATTAGGTCACCATGGCCATTCAAGTAGCGGTGTAACGCCTAGAAGTGCCTTTGAAGGCTGATCTCATACCATTCCAAATTTGCTAAACGATTTTCTGAACAAGTTATGAAGCAAAAGGGTGCAACGGTAGTGGAGGGCCTCAAAGTCAAAACGTCGCAGGATCGGTCCCTTATCACTGTTTTGCTTTTTTCGATCCTGTTACATCTAGACTGTTAGTCCCGACCACTACCGTTGCGCTGTTTTGCTTCATAACTCCGTTCAGAGAATCGTTTAGCAGATTTGGAAGGTAGATTTGAGATCAGCGTTCGAAGGCACATCTAGTAGTACTCTTGAATGGCCATGGCGACCTAGGATCTTTTTCTTGTGAGTTGTTAAAATCGCGCAGCGCTTTACCTTTTTCGAAACTGTTAGTACACATGAATTGTTCTTATAGTTCATATAATTCGGCGCACTAAATAAGGTGACAAGACGTCCGTCGAATGAAATTCGATACCCATTTTTGTACATCTGAAAAGCTGAACTTCTGGGAAAAAAGCGTGAAAAGCTGTAGGTTAGGAAGAGATACGTCAAAATTCGTAGCATATATCCAGTAGTCGACACTTTGACCATGTTATTGAGAGGGAGCCAAGCTTGACATGTAGTTTTGAAGGCACAGCTCACGCTAGCTGATTTATACCAATTCCGTTTGCCAATGAGTTGGGTCCGCACCCAGACACATATAAGGTTGGTTCCAGGATCAAAAAGTCTGGCATTGGTACCTCGAGCTTACGGTTATGATTAGTATGCAGCGCACACCCTCAACCCATATTGATGCACGCCGTATCCTACCAAGATAGGATTGGATCCACCCTCCTTGTCCTCGATGCTCTTTTTGTCTTGCAAATCTCAAGCTGCTCGCTTCTGGTGCCCAAATTTTCCCCGGCTCCTGACTCTCCTGTCTGCAACAGAGATTTCATCCATAGGCAAAGCCCCCCTTTCTAGATTACAAAGTCTCAGCGTTTATTTTCCCTTCTTTCTTCACTGATGATTACTAAACCCTACAGTTTCATTCCAAGTGCGAGTGCCTCATTCCCTGAGACAACGATGAAGTCTCAAAGGCAGATGGTACATAAGGTGAAGAAATAAGTGGTTAGTACTGTAACGTGGCTGCATTGGTGAGGAAAAACCCACGGATCCGGTCAAACAACACCCGATCTTGCCTTCGATACTACCTCGTTGAATTCCCATTAGGCCCGACGAAGCCACTTAAGGGAGCTCTTTGATTTGACTAACCCGTGGACATCAAGGACACTACAACATACAGTCGCTTATGAATCGCTGATAGCCGTATTACAAAGTTCTTGAAAAATTATAGTCGGCCTAAAAGTGAATGCGTCTATAAATGAAAGTGACGATGTGGTGAACAGTACACGCAATCAGAGCTGTGAGACGTTCTTTACGCCCGCGGAGGCGGGACTTCACTAGACGTCCAACCACCACCGGTCTAGCTAGGAAGTTACGGTTGTGCCCTTTGCCGCGAAAACGCCACGACTCAACTTTTTGGAGGTTTAGCCTCCCTTTGCAACGTGCTGTTTCCCTACTTCAATATCCAAATTGTTATTAAGTACATAGTAATTGGTGTGCAAGTATAATGTGATATATTCCGTGCCGCTATCATAGACCTCTAAAATTCAAACACATTTGACTACCTCGTTACTAATTTGATGTCCACGTAATATAATATCGAGGTGATGCTTGGCACAGAAATCTTCCACTGCTTTGGGACCAAACAGGAAGGAAATACCTGTGAGTTGACTAGTGATTATAAGACAACATCAATTACACGCGATAGGAGAATGTTCTCACCTCGATGGCTTAGCACCCATCCGTCTCTGTGGAGGGCCGGATCTGACCATACTAGATCGCACCCGATACCGTATGCCGGCACAACTGATGGCCTCTTTATCTGAAAGCAAAACCATGAAAGTTCTGCAATATGCTACCCTCCCAAGAATGCGTGCATCTTTATCACACAACACCGTTAAGTTATTCATGTTGGACGAATTGCTTCGATTCCTACACGATTGTCTAAAAACGCTAGAACAACCCAGAGCTATGTAAACATAGGGCGGAAGTGGTGTAGTGGCAAGTGGCACGCTTACCACGCGAGCGGTCCGGGATCAAATCCTGGGTCGTGAGTCGCCCTGCCAACCAAGTAAGCTGTAGCGGCTGCAGTGCTCTCAGACTATGTCTGGCGCCCTGTAATCTGTTGCGCTCTCGCCTCATAATCTCCTTTCTGTGCTCAGAATCTCTTTGTTTTAGCACAGCCGCATTACTGAGGTAGCAAGCCCTTGACCCTGACTTTTCCCAGATTCTTTTCCTTTTTTATTTTCTTCCAATTCGCACCATACGTTCATATCATGTGCAAGAACCACACCAATTGGGTCCTGGGGTGTGCACTCAACTGCGGTAGCTACCGCCAGTGTGACATCAGTGCTCAATTGGACGATAAGATATCCAAGTCAGTCTGGAAAGTGAGTCCTCAAGCAGAATTCCAATCACTGACCTTATTGATATCGCTCAATTTGTCGATGAATGGAGATATTCCACCATGTGCGCAGTATATTGTGTCAGCAATAATGGCTGCCACAGGCATACAGTTGAAAGCCTCGAGAAAAGTCC